AAAAATCTGGTTCTTGGAGAAAATCAACAAGATCGACAAACCCCTATCCAAACTAATCAAACGGCAGAGAGAGAACATGCAAATTAATAAGATCAGAAATGAAAAGGGGGACATAACCACAGACACAGAGGAAATTCAGAGAATCATCAGATCTTACTACAAAAGTTTATATGCCACAAAGTTGGAAAATGTAAAAGAAATGGACATTTTTTTTAGATAAGTACCATATACCAAAGTTGAACCAAGAACAGGTGAACAATCTAAATAGACCTGTTAGTCGTGAAGAATTAGAAGCTGTTATCAAAAATCTCCCTACCAAAAAAGCCCAGGACCAGATGGTTTCAATGCAGAATTCTACCAGAACGTCCAGGAGGAGCTAATACCTATACTCCTTAGTGTATTCCGCAATATAGAAACAGAAGAATCATCGCCAAACTCCTTTTATGAAGCTACAGTTACCCTGATACCAAAACCACACAAAGACACAACCAAGAAAGAGAATTACAGGCCAATGTCACTCATGAACATCGACGCGAAAATTCTCAATAAAGTACTGGCAAACCGAATCCAAGAACACATTAGAAAAATTATCCATTATGATCAAGTAGGCTTCATCCCAGAAATGCAGGGCTGGTTCAACATATGCAAATCTATCAATGTAATCCATCATACAAATAAACTGAAAGAAAAAAACCATATGATCATTTCATTGGATGCTGAAAAAGCATTTGACAAAATTTAACACCCATTTATGCTAAAGGTGTTGGAGAGACTGGGGATACAAGAATCATACCTAAATATAATAAAAGCAATATACAGCAAGCTGACAGCTAACATCAAATTGAATAGAGAGAAACTCAAAGCCTTTCCACTAAAATCAGGAACACGACAAGGCTGTCCACTCTCTCCATACCTCTTCAATATAGTGCTTGAAGTTCTAGCAATAGCAATAAGACAACATAAGGAGATCAAGGGGATTCGAATTGGAAAGGATGAAATTAAACTTTCGTTATTTGCTGATGATATGATAGTGTACATAAGCTACCCCAAAAACTCTACCAAAGAACTCCTACAGCTGATAAACAACTTTAGTAATGTGACAGGATACAAGATCAACTCCAAAAAATCAGTAGCCCTCCTATACACAAAGGATAAAGAAGCAGAGAGAGAAATCAGAGAAACATCACCTTTCACGATAGCCACAAATAGCATAAAATATCTTGGGGTTACTCTAACCAAGGAAGTGAAAGACCTATTTGACAAGAACTTTAAGTCATTGAAGAAAGAAACTGAGGAGGATACCAGAAAATGGAAAGACCTCCCCTGCTCTTGGATTGGGAGAATCAACATAGTAAAAATGGCAATTCTACCAAAAGCAATCTATAGATTCAATGCAATCCCCATCAAAATCCCATCAAACTTCTTCACAGACCTTGAGAGAACAATAATCAAGTTTATATGGCAAAACAAAAACCCAGGATAGCCAAAACAATCTTATACAATAAAGAAACTTCTGGAGGCATTACCATCCCTGACTTCAAACTCTATTACAGAGCTACAGTATTGAAAACAGCTTGGTATTGGCATAAGAACAGAGAAGTCAACCTATGGAATCGAATAGAAGACCCGGATATTAACCCACAAACCTATGAACACCTAATTTTCGACAAGGGAGCTAAAGGTATACAATGGAAGAAGGAAAGCATCTTCAACAAATGGTGCTGGCATAACTGGATGTCAACCTGTAGAAGAATGAAAGTAGATCCATATCTATCACCATGCACAAAACTCAAGTCCAAATGGATTAAAGACATCGACATTAATCTGTCCACTTTGAACCTGATAAAAGAGAAAGTGGGAAGTAGTCTACAAGATATAGGCACAGGAGGCCACTTCCTAAGTAGGACCCCAGTAGCACAGACAATAAGAGAAACAATGAATAAATGGGACCTACTGAAACTGAGAAGCTTCTGTAAAGCAAAGGACACTATCAGTAAGACAAAAAGGCTGCCTTCTGACTGGGAGAAGATCTTCACCAACCCCTCATCAGACAAAGGTCTGATCTCCAAAATATACAAAGAACTCAAGAAACTAGACACTAAAACTCTAATTAACCCAATTAAAAAATGGGGTACTGAACTGAACAGAGAATTCACAACAGGTGAACTTCGAATGGCCAGAAGACACTTAAGGTCATGCTCAACCTCCTTAGCGATCAGGGAAATGCAGATCAAAACCACTTTGAGATACCATCTTACACCTGTCAGAATAGCTAAAGTCAAAAACACCAACGATAGCCTATGCTGGAGAGGATGTGGGGTGAGGGGAACACTCATCCCATCCAAGTTGGTGGGAATGCAAACTTGTGCAGCCACTGTGGAAATCAGTGTGGTGGTTTCTCAGGAAACTGGGAGTCAACCTCCCTCAGGACCCAGCAATTCCACTCTTGGGAATATACCCAAGAGTGCCCTATCATACTACAAAAGTATTTGTTCAACTATGTTCATAGCTGCACTATTTGTAATAGCCAGAACATGGAAACAACCTAGGTGCCCCTCAATAGAAGAATGGTTAAAGAAGGTGTGGAACATATATACATTAGAGTTTTACTCAGCGGTAAAAAACAATGACATCTTGAATTTTGCATGCAAATGGATGGAAATAGAAAACGCTTTACTGAGTGAGGTAACCCAGACCCCAAAAGAGGAATATGGTATGTACTCACTCATAAGTGGATTCTAGCCATAGTTAAAGGTCTTTGAGTCTATAATTTGTGATCCTAGAGAAGCTAAATAAGAAGGTGAACCTGAAGAAAATCA